TGCGCAGAGAAACACACAAGTCACTGGCGGGGACCAGGGAGGGCCTCGGGGCGTCCCTTCCGCGGCCACCCACCGTCCCCGTTGCTCCGCAGGACAGTTCCCGTTCGACCTGCTGAACTTGGAGGCCGAAATGAAGGTGGGTGACCTCCCGGGTCGGGCCAGGGGCGGCAGATCCCAGGTGGGGGCCTCACCCCAGGGGGCCCCTCGGGAAGTTCTGTCCCCAGTGCAGGTTTTCAGGGACTCGGCCCAGGTAGCCGGGTGGGCGCTGGGCCCTTTCCCCTGGGGCGTGGGCCAGGCCTGGACTCCAGAAGCTTCCAGCTGCCTTGCTGCGGTGTGGGAGGGATAGGGCCCCCCTTACGGCTTACAGAGGTCAGAAGTCGGTGTCGCCCCACCCACCCTTCTTCGTCAGACATGGGTTTCCTCCCGCAGGGGGAGAAAGGAGACCGAGGGGACGCCGGACAGAAAGGGGAAAGGGGCGAGCCGGGGGGCGGCGGCTTCTTCGGCTCCAGTGTTCCCGGCCCCCCCGGCCCCCCAGGCCCACCGGGCTACCCAGGGATCCCGGTAAGCCCAGGGCCCGGCCGGGAGCAAGTTCCAGTCAGTCAGGCCTGTGCAGAGCTCGCGACCCGCATCCCAGGAGCAGCAGCCCAGGGCAGGTCCGGCCCGGCCACCAATGCCAGCCCAGGCGGCACCGCGCCCTGCAGACCCAGCCCCCCAGGAGCCCCCACACGTCCTTGCCCCCCACACAGGGCGCAGGCAGGTGGGGGCGCAGGCACACCGCCGGGACAGCCTCCCGGCCCTCGGGCTGCACCCGCGGGTGCTTCCTGATGAGGCGCTCGCGGTCCTGGGGGCCTTGAGCAGGACGGGGCCAAACCCGCTCAGGGCTCAGGACCCCGCCCGTCCTAGGAGACTGGGGAATAACAGGCCTGGCCTCCACATGGGGCCTCCCCGTGGCTGGGGCTGCTGCAGCCTCTGCCCTGGAATCACGCCCCCAGGGAAGGGGTGGTGTGGGAGGGGACTGGGTTGGTAGGGGGTGGCCCGGGACTCGGGGCTCTTAGCGGGCCCGCTGCTCCGCCCTCCAGCTCACTGCTCCTGCCCGGGGCACACGGCAACATGTCATCTGGTCCTAGGGCACCAAAGGAGAGAGTATCCGGGGCCCGCCCGGCCCGCCTGGACCTCAGGGACCCCCCGGCATCGGCTACGAGGGGCGCCAGGGCCCCCCCGGCCCCCCCGGCCCGCCAGGGCCCCCTTCATTTCCCGGCCCCCACAGGCAGAGTGAGTCGGGCAGGGAGTGGGCTCCGGGCAGAGCCTCGCCCAGTCGCTGCCCCTGCGGCCACCGGCAACCGCGTGTTTCTACCACGGTTTCTGTCTTGCAGCCATCAGTGTTCCCGGCCCCCCAGGGCCCCCTGGGCCGCCAGGACCCCCTGGAACCACGGGTGCCTCCTCAGGGGTAAGCGGCTGGGTGGCCAGGTGCCCACCCCCATGCCCCTGGTCGGTTCACAGCCCAGCCTGTCACGCCCTCAGCGCCAGCCCCCTGGTCCACTGCGGACCCACAGACAGGCAGTGCCCGGGTGGCTTTGCCCGGGGCAGACGCACAGGGAGCCCTGAGCTGCGGTTTCCAACGTGGAAGTGCCAGGGCTGGGGGCTGGGTGGGCCCAGGGATGGTCCACTGTGCTCTGAGGCCAGGTGCGCCGGGGTCCCCCACGCAGCTCACACGGGCGGCCACCCAGTCTCGACTGGCAATGGCATCCACGTCCACGCTCCTGCTCTCCCCACCCAACACCCCCAAACGCCCCAGCCTGCCGGAGCCGTGCCCCACCGGGACCCAGGGGTCGGCAGGCCACCCGGGCCGGTGGGCGGCACCCTCCCTTCCATCCAGGTCCGACCTCCTGTGGGGGCCCCGGTGCCGTGGGCAGCAGCGCATCGCGTGGTTTGGGGTTCCAGCAGGTGAGGATCTGGGCCACGTACCAGGCCCTGCTGGACCAGGTGCACGAGGTGCCTGAGGGCTGGCTCATGTTCGTGGCCGAGCGGGAGGAGCTCTACGTCCGCGTCCGGAACGGGTTCCGCAAGGTCCAGGTGGGTTCTGGGGGCACTCTCCCTCCCTCCCGCGCGGGCTGGGACCAGGGACAGGCGGAGAGCAGGCCCTGCGCAGGGACGGGGCGGGCGGCAGCCAGGGCTTCTCCTGGCGATTCGTGTGCAATTCCTTTTTTTTCATTAGTAAACTTCTTTTACGGGCCGTTTCGGGTTTTACAGAAAGGTGGCCCTCACCCTTTTAGAAGTAGATGAACGCGCCGTGTGTGCTACCTTTGCTCGCTCCAGCGGCTCACGCTGCTGTGAGTGCTCGCAAGGTGACGGTCAACGCGCTCTTGTCAACAAGACCGGGCGTCTCACAGGAGGGGCGTCGGGCGGCATCCCCGCGCCACGCGGCCCGTCCTGCTTCCCGCGCCGTGCGGAGTGAACACCCCTGAGCAGCCTTTCTGCTCCTGGGTGCCGCGGGAGGCCTGGCATCTGTGGGGCGAGTGTGGGGGTGAACGCAGTCCAGGGCCCCCAAACAGCTGTTATGTCCTCGGCAGCCGCGTCTGACCTGCGGGTTGACGCAGCCCCTGAACCATGGGGAGCCCCCGACTCCCCCCTCCCCCGTCACGCTGACCTCACCCCGGCCCCCCATCTGTCCCCGCTCCAGGCCCTTCCTCTGGCCGGGAAGAGGCTGTGGGTCCCGGCCGTGCCCACTGTGTGCCCGGGTCCCCGCAGCACTGGGGTGCAGCCGGGGTTGTGGTAGCATCCGGCCTTGGGACGACCGCGCTGGGGGAGGGCGGGGCCGGGGTCTGCAGTGACCCGCCTGCTCTCTTCCAGCTGGAGGCCCGGACGCCACTGCCGCGGGGGACGGTAAGGAGCTTTCTGTTTTAGAGACTCGGTAGCAGGTCAGGGCGCAAGGGACATGCCCTGTCTCAGGTTTCCCGAGCAACAGCGGGAACTTGGGAGCCCTGGAACCCGGCGTGAGACCCGCGGCCGGCCCCCGCCTGGAAAGTGGGCGCAGACCATGGCGGTGTCTCCAGCTCGGCTGTCCCGGGTGCCGCTCCCACTCTTGTGTCCCTGATTGTGTCTTTGTGGCCAGATGCTCCCTGCGGCCCAAGTCACATCTCGTGTGTTTGTCCTCCCCACCCAGAGCGCCAGGCACAGGAGGGGACAGCCCCGGGGCAGGAGGGGGGCAGGACCTTCTAGTCTCCCGAGCAAGGGCTGCGTTGCCCTGCAGCACCCCAGGGGTAGAAGCCACCACCGGAGCTCAGGAGCGTGTGCCGGGGCCCTGGGCCTGGGGTGCCTGGGCAGGGGCGTCGCAGGCTGGCAGGGCGGCCCCCAGCTCCTGCCTGCACACCCTGGGCACCCCCAGGCAGGTGCTGCTTCCTGCCCACCCCCCGGAAGCCCAGCCCCCGGCCTCCGAGAGCACAGAGGGTGCAGGTGGAGGGGGCCGTCCTGGGAGGGGCAACCCGGACCCCAGGTGCCTGAGCCCCCCACGGGCCTCCTGACCCGCAGGACAATGAGGTGGCCGCCCTGCAGCCCCCCGTGGTGCAGCTGCACGACAGCAACCCGTACCCCCGGCGGGAGCACCCCCACTCCACCGCACGGCCCTGGCGGGCAGACGATATCCTGGCCAGCCCCCCGCGCCTGCCTGCCCCCCAGCCCTACCCCGGAGCGCCGCACCACGGCTCCTACGTGCACCTCCGGCCGGCGCACCCCACGGGCCCACCCGCCCACACCCACCAGGATTTCCAGCCGGTGGTGAGTGCCCCAGTGGCGGCAGCGGATGTGGACGCTCCGGAGCTGCCAGGGAGGTCCCCGGGCCAGGGGTGCGGGGGGCTTGGCTGATGGGGGCCGGGCGTGGTAGGGCCAGCCAAGCCTGGGACTTGCGCGCTGGTGGCCGGTGGCTGCCCACACAAGCTACGCCCCTGTGAGGCCAGTCTCGGCTCGCGTGGAGAACGGGGAGCCTCTGCCGGCACACGAGGCCACAGCTGTGCTCTGCAGCCGGTGGGCCGAGGGCGGGGCCAGGGGGAGGCTGCTTCTTGGGCCGGCGGCACCTGATACCACCTGTGCTGCCCTGGGCCAGGGGTCCAGACTTGAGGTCCTGGGTAGAGCCACTCACAGTCGTCACAGGGGCTGGGCCTCTGGGGCCTGGCTTGGGGTGCAGGCGGCGTGGGCCGCGGTCCCTGACGTGGCGCGGTTTCTCTGCAGCTTCACCTGATCGCGCTCAACAGCCCGCTGTCGGGCGGCATGCGCGGCATCCGCGGGGCCGACTTCCAGTGCTTCCAGCAGGCGCGGGCCGCGGGGCTGGCCGGCACCTTCCGGGCCTTCCTGTCCTCGCGCCTGCAGGACCTCTACAGCATCGTGCGCCGCGCCGACCGCGCAGCCGTGCCCGTCGTCAACCTCAAGGTGGGTCGGCCCGTCCCGCGAGCCACGATGGGTCCCACTCACGCCCCTGAGCCCGGCTTCGGGTGCGCGGTCACGGCGGGGGCTTCCCTCGAGGGCCTGTGGAGGCCGCCGTGGCGTGGCCACCGCACCCCAGCCAGTGACATCAGGGCGGGCGCCGGTGGGTGCGGGTGGGTCACAGCCCCAGAACACCCCTCTGCACCCTGGGCCGCCGCCCCCGGGGTCGCCCGCGGTGTCTGTGCGGGGCCTGTGCCCTTTTGGGGGTGTCTTCTCGTGTCGTGTCCTCTCGCGTGTGTGTTTTTCGGGGGTCTTGTGTGCCCGGGGCCGCGGGGGGGGGGTGTGGGGGGACACCCCCCGCGTTTGCGTGTGGTGTGGGGACGTGTCCCGGGGGCCCCGGGGTGTGGGCGCCTCTCTCCCCCACCCCTCTGGGGGGTCCTCCGTGGTTGCTTTTTTTGATGCGGGGTGTTGTGGTCGGCTGCTGTGGTGGGAGCGGCGTCGTCCGCGGCGCCCGTGGTGAGTCCTTGTGGCCGGGGGCGCGGCGGGGTGGGGGGCCTCGTGGGGCGCCGCCCCTCTTCTGGGGGGGGGTGGTCTGCTTCCTCCGCCTGGTGGCCTCTCGGGGCTGCGGGGCCACCCTGCTGGGCTCGGCGTACCCGCCTGGTCCCTCGGGCAGGACGTGTCGGGACTGAGAGCCCACACTGCGCTCTCCCGCGCAGGACGAGGTGCTGTTTCCCAGCTGGGAGGCCCTGTTCTCGGGCTCCCAAGCCCAGCTGAAGCCCGGGGCCCGCATCTTCTCCTTCGACGGCAAAGATGTCCTGAGACACCCGGCCTGGTAGGTCCCCGAGGGCGGGCGGCGCAGAGCTTCCGCAGAGCTCCCAGCACAGGGGTGACGTGTGCCCTGTCTTCCTGGCTCCCAACGTGTCACCCTAAGTCTTTGAACTGATCCTATACAGCCTTTTTAAAAATTATAAAATCCATAGAGCACACAGAAAAAAGCCAACTGCTCCCTGGGAGCAGCCCTCAGCACCGTTGCTAAGAGCAGCCTGGCTCTAAGAGCACCCCAGGCACCCGAGCCCTCCTGTCCACGACTGGCCGGCCCCACGCGCCCGTGACGACGTGAGCAACCCTGTGGGCTGCACGTGACATCACAGTGAATCGCTCACTGAGGATGAACAAGGGCAATTCTGAGAGCATGCCTGCACGTGAAATAGCGACAGAAATTGCCAGAATGCCCTCAAAAAGGCGTCACACCAAATGTCCCCCTGCCCACCAGGTGGGAGGTGCCTGTTCCCCCAGGGCTCTGCTTTTACAAGGGTGTCTTCAGGTGTCGCACAGGTGTTCGCCGAGAGGTGCCGGGCCCTTGGCCATCCTCTTACTGAGATGCGCCTGCCAAGGGCCACCCTTGTCCCTGACCTGAGAGCTTTGGGAGGGGCGGGGCCGTCCCCAGGCAGGTGGAGCTTGTTCCTAGAAAGGTGGCACCGGGACACCTTTGTCACGTGGGGCCAGGCCCACCCAGCTGGGAGGACCCGCCTGAGGCACCGGGGCCTGGCTGACCCGCACCTGTGCGCAGGGTGCCCGGCAGGGGCAGCGTGGGGTGAGGCCTGAAGGTGGAGCCCCTCGGACAGGCAGCCGGCAGGGAAGCCGTGTGGCCTCCAGACCGGGGGCCCCTCCTCGGCCCGGAGGGAGCAGGTCTGGGTGCGGCTGACAGCCGGTGCCTCTTGCAGGCCCCAGAAGAGCGTGTGGCACGGCTCGGACCCCAGCGGGCGCCGGCTGATCGAGAGCTACTGTGAGACGTGGCGGACAGAGGCCCCCGAGGCCACGGGCCAGGCCTCCTCGCTGCTGGCGGGCAGGCTGCTGGGCCAGCAGGCCGCGAGCTGCCGGGGCGCCTACGCCGTGCTCTGCATCGAGAACAGCTTCGTGAGCGGCTCCCAGTAGCCCTGGCGCCCGGATGTGGTGGCCAGAGGGGACAGGTGGCGGGGCCAGTGGAAGCCCCCACTGCGGACAGGGAGCGTCCGGCCGGCACCCTTGGGACCCGGCTGGGGGTCCCTGTGTAGTTCACATTTCATGTAATCCTCGAGAAATAAAAGGAAGCCAAAGAGTGTATTTTTTAAAAAATTTAAAACAGAAGCTTTGTGCCAAGATGTGTGCCCACCCACCCCTCTTGCCCAGGAACCCGGGAGCCCACGGGCCTGGCCCGGGTCAACCTGGGGGTGGAGCCTCAGCCCAGCCAGACCACGGCTCGATTCCCGCAACAGGCCGACTCCGGGACTCCTGCTTGGGAGGCTGCGCCCACCCCAGGCACACGGGCCCCTCTGGGCCTGTCAGGTGCCGCCAACGGCCCTTGATGGCCTGGCAGGCGCTGACTCAGTTTCCTACCTGGCACCCCTCAGTGCTCAAAGCCCAGGCCCATTTGCAGACCAGCCCGGCCAGGCACGGGGGGCTGAGGCCACGCTCAGCACGTGACCAGGCCAGCTCAGGTCACCACGGCAAGGGGCACCCGCCTCTTTGCTGGCCCAGGCTCTGGCCTGTCCCCGGCACTGTGTGCAGGGCTGCGACATGGCCAGACTCCGGCCGTTGCCTTCCCTGGCACGTGGGGCCCATCTTCAGGCCTCTGCCCTGCGATGGCGTCCCACGTGACCCGTGAGGTCACATCTACAGCAGAGAGCTCGACTCCAGCCACGTCCAAGCTGAGAGTTCTGAGGGACCCAGGAGTCGGGGTGCAGGGCCCGTCCCGCACCTGGCACCCCTTTCCGGGTTGGGGTTTTCCGGGGTTTTTTGCTTGGCGGGGCCCAACCCACCCCCCGGTTGCCGGCCCAACACCCAAGGTCCTGGGTCCACCTCTGCAGGCCGCAGGCTCTGAAGCCCAGGCAGCGAAGGGGATAGCCAGTTGCTCCCGCCAGGATGGGGCTCGGCCAGCGCTGCCCAGCGTGTGCCCGGACAGGACGAGGCCATGGCGAGGAGGCCGAGGCTGGTGCACAGGGCAGCAGGTGAGGGCCACCACCGCCTGTCCACACCAGCACTTCAAAGGGCTGGCCCTGGGCACAGGTCACCGACTGTCTCCCAGAAAACCCACATCCTTGCTCTCCTCATGGGGGACTGGGGGGGCCTTCGGGTGCACGCAGGCGTCTCTGGGAAGCTGGCAGGAAGAGCAGCCACCGAGGTGCGTCCTCAGTCGAAGTCAGACAGCATCTGTGCAACGGTGTTGCTTCCGTGGACGGATGTGTATGCTCAGGGCAGCGCCAGGCGGACCACGGTGTGGCCAGCGTGTGCCTGCCACGGGACTGCAGCAAACCCGTGGGGCTGGTTCTGTAACCGCATGTGATGTGGGCACCAGGTCAAACAGGCACCAAATAAAAATGACCTTTGCGCTGAAATGTGTTTGCTGGAAGCTTTCACCGTCAGGAGAGCAAAATCACCCAAAATGAGGCTCCTGAGGCTCCGGAACTTTAGTCCCTGGACAGCCCAGCTGGCGGGAACTGCTGAGGGAGCACAGGTGTGCGCATGTGCATGCATGTGCGTGTGTACACAGGTGTGCGCATGTGCGGGCACACAGGTGTGCACATGTGGATGTACACTGGTGTGCACATGTGTGTGTGTATACACAGGTGTGTGCATGTGTGCGTGTACACAGGTGTGTGTGCATGTACACAGGTGTGCACTGGTGTGTGCGCGTGTGCACAGGTGTCTGTGCGCATGTGCATGCATGTACACAGGTGTGTGCATGTGCGTGTATACACGTGTGCATGTGTGCGTGTACACAGGCGTGCACGCAGGCATGCATGCACATGCAGACACGCTCTCAGGGCTCTTACTCCAAGCCTGTCGGTGGGTCTGCGCTGTGTTCTCTGCGCAACTGCGGTGCCTGAGGGCTGTGCAGGCCTCACGGCAGCACCGGGCTTGCTTCCCGGAGCAGGAGCAAGGCTGTCCTCAGAGCCAGTGCAGGGCGGGGGGTGCAGGCCCTGGGGGGCCAGACGCTGGTGAGAGGGGCCTCGCTGGGTGAGGGTGCTAGGCGGGCCCTGCGCTGCGGGTTGACCGCAGGCGGGGTTCGCGGTGTGCAGTGGTCAGCGCAGGCTGTGGTCGTGCCATGTTCCCGCACCCTCAGCCCCTGGCTCCACGTCACGTCCTGCTGTCCTGCCAGGTGGGGCCCCTTCTCGGCCGGACGCACCTGGGGACCACGGCCCCCTCTGGCCACCACCACAGGCTATGGCTCAGGCCATCCTTCTCCTGGACCCTCGACCCAGGGTGCCCCAAGATGCCCCCTCACCTGAGCCGGCCTGGGGGGACCCCCAGGCACAGCCAGCTCCAGTGGCCCCTCGGCCAGAAATTCCATCCCCAGCTTCCTGTGCTGAGCTGGCTCCCAGCTGCCGTGTCTCACTGGGGTCTGCCAAGTGCAGACACTGCCCAGAGTCCCTGAGGGACGGGTCGTGGAGGGGAGGGGCTCGTGGGCACCAAGGGCCCTGGGGGGGGGTCCTTGCTTGAGAGGGGGAGGGGAAGGCTGGGCCGCTCCCGGCCTCCTCCCTGACCGCCGGCCCCACCCAGCAGGCCAGGACGGCCCAGAATCAGGAGCCGTCTCTCACTCACGTCTCACGGCTGGTTTAATGTATGTTGGGAAGAGTGTTCGTACGACAGGCTGTCTTGCATCTCCGAGTGACATGCGAGTGGCCCCCGGACGCTGAGGCCGCTGGAACACCTCTCTCCAGCGCTGGCCCAGGAAGGCGGCATGTCCACGGGACAGGGACCAGTCCTCCCTGGCCAGCGTGAGCGTGACCAGCTCTCCGAGGACACGCAGGTCAGAGTTGACCCATGTCAGCACGGAGGGCCCTGGGCTGAAGCCACAGGCGGGAGGAGGAACTGGCTCCAAGGACCAGGGCCATGACGGGGACGTGTCTGCCTGCAACCTGAGAACAGCTTCTCCCGCAGAAGCAGAGAAGCTGAATACAGTTCCTCATTTTATGTTAAAAAAAAAAAAAAAAAAAAAGATCAGAACCTCATTCGACACCGCAGCACCTAGAACTGGAAATGTCCCAATTTAGCTACAGCTGGGGGAACCCAGGCTCCCAGCCCTGCCCTGAAGGGTCCGGGGCGTTCTGTGGGGTTGGTGTCCCCTTGGCTGACATCTAGGCCACCTTACCAGTCCCAGGGACACACGGGACTTGCCTCGTGCCTCCCCAGGGGATGAGGGCGTGGTGGACACCAGGACCCAGCCAGCCTCTTCCAGGCCAGCGCAGCAGCCGGAGCCCACTGGGCCCAGCAGGGGCGGCACAGCCAGGCAGCTGCTCTGAGTGTCCCCAACAGGCACCGATGCCAGGGTGTGCGGCAGGGCTGGGGAGGGGGTTCTCAGGGGGCCACCAGCGGGGCAAGCTGAGGCCAAGGACCCTCACTAAGGCAGGCAGCCCGCGGGGCATTGGTCGGGGACACATGGAGGGTCACAAGCAAAGGCACCAGGGGCCCCAGAGTCACTGGTCCATGCTGAGAACCACGCGTGCGAGCTCAGGGCCCCAGGCTTGGTCCGGGCAGGAGTGCGGACAGGAAGGCTCCCTCTGGCGTCAGGAGCCCAGCCGCCCACTGGGCTGGGGCAGGAGAGTGGGCTGGGCTGGGGCAGGCTGGCTCTGCTCCTGAGAGGCCGGCCCAGAGGCCCAGGCGCTGTCGTCCGGGTGCGGTGGTGGGTGCGGTGGCGGGTGCGGTGGCGGGGCAGAGGGCTGCGGGCCGCGGAGGCCCCCGTCCTGCAGGCTGAGCCCCTGCTCGGCCTTCTCCTCCAGGGGGCTCCTCAGCTCCTGGGCCAGGGGCAGCGGCTGGTGACGCTGCCGGAAGTGCCGCAGGCCATCGAGCACGGCCCCCAGGAGGTAGAGCACGGAGAGGACCAGGAAGTACATGAAGTAGACCTGGAACTGGAACACAGGGGCCCGGTGAGGCCTCGGGCCCAGCTCCGAGCCCTATCCCCGCCCGCGATGCCCGCCCGTGGTCTCCCTCCTCCGGCTCGGAGGCTGCCACCAACGCTGCCTGGGTCGCAGGGGCCCCAGGCGCCGGCCCGCTTTCCGGCCATGCCCGGCACAGCCCTGACGTGGGGGCTCCTGCCACTTTTCCAAGAGACCCTACAGCCCCGGTGCGCATCCTGCCTCCGCGTGGCCTCCAGGGCCTGTTTCCAAGGCCGTGCTTCCTGGGGCTGCGTCCTCAGGCTGCCGAGACGGCAGGAGGACATGCCTGAGTGCCAGAAGGTTCCACCAGCAGAACCAGGCGAAGAGAGCTCCTCCCTAGGCCCTGCGCCCACCGCGGAGACCTGCGCAGCCCCTGCAGGCTGAGCCAGTCCCCACCCTGGTGGCAGAAGGGGCGCCTTGATGACAAAAAGGAAACGCCCCCCTGGCTCCCACAGCCAGGGCGGGAGGGACTGATACCTTCCCTGCACGGGCAGGGCCACACCATCCCCCGTACCAGAGGGTCCAGGAGGCCGGGGGGTCTCGGGGCTCCTGTGGGCAGAGCCCAGTGTGAGTTCTGTGCGAGACCCCGGCCCCGTCTCCCTGCAGCCCGTCACCCGGCACCCATCCAGGAAAGCTCGTTTTTAAAGCAAACGGGAAATGAACCTGTGAGGACGTTGCCTCCAGGAAGACGGGGCTGGCGGACAACTGAAATCCTGAGACGCTGCGCAAGAAACACGGAAGGCTCTGGAAAGTGCAGAGAAGCACGAGGACCAGCCGGGACCCGGCCCAGGGAGTGACCCGGTGCTGCTCCCCAGGTTGGTTCTCTCTGCTGCGTATTTTCGGAACTGAAGAAGCCCACAAGCTGGAAATGCCGACAGACCCAGCACGCACGCGCTGTCCGGGCCAAGGAAGCAGGAGGGGGCGGCCCAGCAGGCGGGGAAGCCCCAGACAAGAATCGCTCCGCAGCCACACACCATAGAAAGGCCCGGACCCCGCCCACACCAAGTCCCGGTGACGGCCGCTATCAGACCGCGGCAGGTGCGGAGTCTGGACTCTCACCCTCCCACCGCCGTGCCACGAAGGCTGCGTGGGGAGCCTGAACTTCCACCCACCTGGCTACAGCAAGACACACAAGCCCCTTCCCTGCTGCAGCTGTGCCAGGAAAAACAGCCAAACAGAGGGTTAAATAAGATCCAGTCGCATAACATCATACCCCAAACGCCTACATTTCAATCAAAAATCACTCAGCACACTCAGAACCACAAAGATCTCGAACTGAATGAAAGACAATCGACAGATACCAACACCAAGACAGAGGTGTCAGAATTATCTGGGGAAGACCTGAAAGCAGCCACCATAAACGTGCTTCAGCGAGCAAAACCAAACGTGTTGGAAGCAAATGAAAAACATGGTCTCAGCAAAAAAATAGGAGAAATAATAAAATTTATAACTGAAAGATACAACAACCAAAATAAACTCCATGAATAGTGTCAACAACAAAATGGAAGAGACAGAGAAATGAATCAGTGAACTGGAGCTAGAACAACAGAAACTGCCCCCAATCGGAACAACAAAAAACAGACTTTAAAAAAAAAAACCACACACAAAGCCTTAGCCCCCGTGGGACAGTACAGGACAAGACGGAACATTTGTGCCATGGGAGTTCCAGAAAGAGAAGAGAAAGGGGATGGGCCTGAAACAGCCCAAAGAAAACCACACCAACACACACCACATCCAAACTTCTAAAAGCGAAACGTAAAAATAAAGGAAAAATCTTGCAAGTAACCAGAGAAAAATGACACCAGGGAAAACAGTTTGAATGACGTGGATTTCCCATCAGAAAGCCGGGGGCCACGAGGACGTGGCGTCGCATCTTCCACGTGGTGAGAGGAAAACGCCGCCCACCCAGGCTCCTACATCCAGGGAAACGCCCTTCGGGAATCAAAGGGAAATCGAGACATTCGTAGGTGAAGAAACATTAAGAGAACAATTGTCACCAGCAAACTTACCTAAAAGAATGGCAAAGAGAAGTGCTCTAACAAAAGAGATGACAGAAGAATCTTGAAACAAGGAAGGAAGAACACCATAGACAAAGTTATAGGTAAAGTATTTCCTCCTGGAGTTTTCTAAAGCGTGTTTGCTGACTAACGCAAAAACTACCACACTGACTTATGTGGCACTAAAAGTATGCAGAGAAAATATCTAAGGCAATGGTACTGACAAAGGCACTTTTCCCACACTGTGTTCAAACCGGTCACGTGATACACAAAGCAACCAAAGAGTTACACCAGGAAGCACACTCGAAACACAACAGACAAACCCAAACAAAACTACACAGAATGTGCAAGTAACCATCTGGAAGGCGCAAAAAAGAAACCAAGGACTAAAAACAGAGAATAAATGAAAAATAATATACAAAATGGCAGACTTAAGCTCTAATATATAAATTATTACCTTACACACAAATGGTGTAAAAATGCCAACAACTATAAGACAGAGGTTGGCAGACTAGATTAAAAACCGTGACTCTGCTGCCTGCTCTGCTGTTTACAAGAAACACACTTCGAAATACCAAGACAGGAAGGTTGAAAGCAGAAGGATGAAAAAAAAAAAAAAAAAAAAAGAAAGCAGAAGGATGCAAAAGGCTTCACCATGCAAACAATAATCAAAGGGAAGCAGGAGTGGCTATGTTGATAACACGTGAGGTAAGTGTCAGAGCAAAGACAGTGACCAGAGACAGAGGGAAATGACACGATGATAACAGGGTCAATCACCCAGACAGACATATCCCAGATGTGTAGGCAGTAAGCAAAAGAGCTGCAAATGCGCGAAGCAAAAACGTGATAAAACCAAAAGGAGACACAGATCCCGTGATCGCACTTGGAGACTTCAATGCACCTCTCTCCATAACGACGTAACTAGACAGAATCCACAAGAATGAAGAAGAAATCAAGAACACCCTCAGTCCACAGGATCCGATCAGCGCTTATGGAACACTCCATCCAACAAAAGAACACACATCCTTTCCAAGTTCCACAGCATATACCAAAACAGACAATATTCTGGGCCACAAAACAAGCCCCAGCAAATTTAAAAGGATTGAAATCACATAGAATGAGTTTTCTGATCACAAAAGAATCAAAAAAGAAATTAATGACAGAAAGATAACAGGAAAATCTCAAAAACAATTGGAAACTACACCACACACTTTAAAATAATGATGCAGTAAAAAATACATTAAAATGAGTGAAAGTGAAAATACAGCATATAAAAATTTATGGGATACAGCTAAAGCAGTACAGAGGGGAAATTCATAGCACTACAGGCATACATTAGAAAAGAGGAAAAGTCTCAAATCAATAATCTCTCACCTCAAGAACCTAGGGGAAAAAGCAAAATAAACCTAAAGCAAGCAGAAGGGAGACAAGAGTAAAGTTCTAGCCAGTGCAATAAGGCAAGAAAAGGAAATAAAAACACACAGATCAGAAATGAAGAAATCAAATGGTCCTTATTTACAAATGACATGATTATCTTCACAGAAAATCTCAAGAAATCTGAAAAACAAAAACAAACACAACTACCAGAAAACCTCCTAGAACTAATAAGTAAGGTCCGCAAACTTGCAGGATACAAGATAAACACACGAATATCAACTGTATTTCTACACACTAGCAATGAATGCATGTACTCTGTTATGGACTAAATTATGTACCCCCCAAATTCTTGTGTTGAAGCTCTAACCCCCAATGTAACTGCCTTTGGAGATGGCCCTTTAAAGAGGTAATTATGGTTAAATGAGGTCACAAGGGTGAGACCCTAGTCCAAGCTGATAGGTGTCTTTGTAAGAAGAGAGATACCAGGGAGGACCACACAGAGAAAATGCCACGTGAAGACGTGGAGAAGACGCCATCTGCAAGCCAAGGAGAGACACTTCAGGACACCTCAATCGCAGATGTCCAGCCTCCGGAACAGTGAGAATAAACTTCTGTTGTTTAAGCCACCTAGTCTGTGGTATTTTGTTATGGTAGCCCAAGCAGACTAATGCAGATGCTAAAATTTAAAATACTGTTTCATTTATAATTGCTCAAAAAAGAAATGAAGTATAAATAAAACATGTACAGTACTTATATGTGGAAAACTAAAAAATGATGAAAGAAATCAAAGCAAATCTAAATAAATGGAGAGATATACCATGTTCATGGACTGGAAAACTCAACACAGTAAAGGTGTCGATTCCTCTGAAACTGATAGACTGGCTTAGTGCAACTGCTTATTGGAGCAAGAATTTTTGCAGATATAGAGAAGATTACTCTAAAATGTATATGAAAAAACAAAGAAACCATAAGAGTGGACACAATTTTGAATAAAAAGAAAAAAGTTGGAGGAATCAGTCTAGCCAATTTCAAAACTTAAAATAAAGCTTCATAACCAAGACAATGCGGTACCGCTAAAAGGGTAGGCACACAGCTCAATGGGACAGAAAAAAACCAGAAATAGACTCACATAAATATGCCCAATTTTTTACAAATGTGCAAAAGCAATTCAACGGAGGCAAGATAAGTCTTTTCTACAAATGATGCTGGAACAAATGGACACATAGGCCGAAAAAAGTGAACCTCGACCTAAACCTCACACCTTATATAAAAATAAACCCGTAATGTATCACAGACTTAAATGTA